TCCTCCCCTGATTAGGATTCCACCCACTCCCACATCTCCTCAACCTTATCTCTTCCCCTACCCCAAAAGTAATTATCCTCTCAAAGTCCCCCCTTTTTTTTTTTCTTTTTTCTTTTTTTTTTTTAATATGGGAGAATTTTGAAGAATGAAGATTTTTTTTTTAAATAGTTAATTGAAGTCAAATGTTTAATTAATTAAATCTGAGTATTAAGATTTAGAGATGAATAGTTGAGACAAAAGTCCAGTTTTATCCTCTCAAAGTCATTTATTTTACGGCTAGAAATATATTTGCCCTGTTTGGTTAACTATACTCCTTAAAGGGACAGATGGTAATTTTTTTTTAATCAAATAAATAAAGTCGTTTAAATTTTGAGTCACGATCTAGGGATTATTCTTACACAAGTATTACCTTTTTTTTTTTACAATTACACATATTATTAAAGAAGAGGAATTTATTTATATTTAAGTTTAACACATCATAATTATATATAATCTTAATTATTTATTTTTTTATTTTTAATAATTAAGATTAATTATAACTTTTTAAATAAAAATTATTATTTTTAATAAATGTGAATAAATTTTAATTATTAAAAGTGTATAGATAAATAATTAAAATTTTATATAAATGTGATATATAAAATTTATATGTAATTTAATCCTTACTAATTATTAAATACTATAAACATTTAGTATTATAAGTTTTAATCAAGTAAAAAAATTCAATCATTAATTGAGGTGTAAAGTTGTAAACAAAATTTATACTCAAAATTTGTACCTAAAAGTTATTAGCACATCATTTTTCTTAATTTAAAAATAAAAAATAATATTACTTTATTTTTTTGAACTTTAGTAAACTTAATTTTTTATCTAATAAAATAAAAATATAATAATTAATTAATTAAATTTTATATTTATTTTTAATAAATTACTACTTAAATAAATCTTTTTATTTAATATATATGTTAATTATTACAATTATCTTTTTAAATTAAATGTAAAATAGAAATAAAAAAAATTAAAATTACTATTTTAAATTAAATGTAAAATAGAAATAAAAAAAATTAAAATTACTAAAATGTATAGAGAACCACTAAAATTTTAATTAAATTAGTATTTATTCATTAAAATTTTTTAATTTAAAATCAAAATAAAAAATTCAAATCTTAGTAACTAACTTTCTTATATATTATAAAAAAGTACAAGAGAGGATAAACCTAATACAACGCATATGCAATTCGAGTGAAAAATGGTTACGTATTGAGATTTCATGAGTACTAAACCCGTTAGAATTTTTCTTACTTTGACAAAACCTTAATTGGTTTTAACCACTGCATTAATTGGGTTTTGCTCCGCACATTCCCTTAGAACTCAAGGGTAAATCAACCCCTCTAAATTTTAGTACCACACAAGTGTCGGTTTCCAATTAGCTCCCAAAGAACAAGCACTGAGTCTACGGACCCCAGAAGCAACAATAAATGCTAATATATTTTGGGCATAAACAGCATAATTACTGTGTATGCCTGTTAGACGTTCTGGGTTAGTTTTTTGTGGAAGCTTGAGATTCACTTATCATGCACGTAAAGGCAAATCTACTACCTTGTCCCAAGACTAGGAGGCAGAAAGCAACCTACATATTACTTGCACGGCCAAGCAGAACCCCCTTAAAATCCCTAAAAACTCCCTTAAATAATTAGATGACCTAGAAGGAAGTCGGTTCACCTAAAATTGAGATCGGTGAACCGAGCCACTTTTTGTCCAGCACTCAAACTAAACCTTTTTGGTTTGTGTACCTGTTTTAAATTCTAGGAACAACAAGTATTTATGTCTACCCCAATTTGAGGTCTACAAGCCTTTGAGTCAAAATTGTTACTCAAATATGTTACTTGGACAGGAAATTGGTACCTACATCTACCTACTTCTTTGATACTAGTCTATTAGCTTTTCATCTATATATGTACTATAACTCACTAAATTTGGTGTGTATATACCTTAAAAAAAAAACATTGGTGTGTATATATTCAAACAAATTGGTTAATTTAAAGGTAGCTATATTTGGTATTACTATGAAGTTATGTAGCTTACTGAGTATTTACTACCAAAAAATTTATGTTATTATTTAATAAATACTTTGAAAATAATTTAATACGTAAATTAATATGACTATTAAATTTTATAAAATATCGATTAAAAATGATTTAATTATATAAAATTAACAATTTTAATGAAGTGTCGTATAAAACAATGTTACAAGAAAACAACTCCAAATACTACTCAAATCATAACCAACCAACTTAGACAACAATTCAATTACAATGCAAGTGGATTTCATCAAAAATCAAATTACCTTTCCTTTAGATGTGAAAGAACTTTTTTTTTTATATCAGATAATAAGTTATATAATAAACGATAATTTTTTTCTTTTCAAACTTCTTATTATTTATTTTAAAATTTGAATTTGAGATATTTAATATAAAAATTCAAACTCTTAACTATTAATACATATCTTATGAATGTGAAAAAAAATATTCTATTTAGAACCAAAAATTACAAGTGGATTTGAGCATCGGTTCAGACAAACTGAACCACCATTCCAATACCAACCTGAACCAGTGCTAGGACTTTTTGGAAAGGGGTGTTGGTGTCATTTTCATTTTGGGAAGGCAGATATTATTACAGACAGAGAGTCATTGACGGGGAAAGTTGACTGGCGAGTGAATGTGAGAAGGCAGGGGCAGAGGGCAGAGGAAGTCGCAGGACAGGCGTGAGATGGCGTATCAATTTGTAAGAGACTAAAGATTCAAATTCACATGATGTAGTAAAAAAAAGACCGGTCAAAGCTTCTAGATTGACTTTTGACCTCGT